TATTCCGAGTAGCATTCCGCTACGACCTTCTTGTATCTGCCGACACTACCGACTGCATTCCTCAAGCCCTTTTTGAGACCGTCACAAAATCTCTCGCACGCCGGGCGGGGTCCAGCAAGCTGTATCGTAATTCTCTGCTCCCTGATCTCTTTCTTGTCTTTTTGCGCATCTTTGTCCTTGACCGATTCTTGCGTGATACCGTTCCAAGTTGTAATAGCAAGAGAAAACTGGATTTTATAGCGTTAGTATAGGCCGATACGAGGATTTCGATCTGGAGATAGTATTTCATACTTGAAAGTTCTGGCTGTTTAGGCGTTCGACTCGTCTGATGGCGCATAAAGGAAAAGTGAAACCGTTCCCGCTAGGTCCAGCACCATGTGTCTGACCGGTAAAGGCGGCGGAGCTCGAGGGAGTTGCACCGTTAGAAAAGCTGGTAGGAGTAGTAGAGAAGCAGATGTAGGACTCGGATAGGTGCAGCTTTCCGGCATAATGCCAGCCTCGATCACGATCTTTGTCACCCTGGGTGATATTGGAAGGCGGGATGGTAAGTTCGGCGGGTATCTCGTACAAGGGCGTCTGGGTGCTGGGGAGTCGAAACTGATTCTGGAATAGGGAGGCCCTAGATGGATGCTTGTCGGAGTTGGTCAGGTTCAATCCTTGCATAGGATCAATCAGCTGCTGAGCAGCCGACTGAGCCTTTTGCACGAAGCTGCTAAAGTTGTTGAACATGGTTCCAGACTTGACTTTACAGCCGATAAGTCTATGAACTAATCGTAGCTCAATTCATTTCTAGTCGTCGTCGATGCGTACTTGCTTTGTAAGCAGGAATCCGAGAGACTCGTAGGGAGCAAGGGATTCTTGTCGTTTCGTTTTCTTCTATTGTCTTTGCTTTTCTTTCCTTCCCTCGTTCTATCATGTGCTGAGTTTCTTCTTATGATCGTTTTTCGTTTTGTATTCTTGAACAGGCAGAATTAGAACAGGGGAGTAGGGAACGTCGTGAAGGGTTCGTGATCTAGTCAGATGGTAGATGGTATCGAATGAAGTAGGTCGTTCGTCCGTGGGGTGGTTTCCCGCTTCAGGAGCCAGCAGCTGCTAGGACCTACTGACTGCACTGACTGCACTGCACTGACTGCCGTGCTGCCGACCTTCAGCCTCTAATACCAGGTACCTTAGGTACCTAGGCAATTTACCTAGGATCCGCATTCTGTGGCTGAAGCTCCATCCCGACTCCCGAAACCAAATGTTACCATACTAGGCTTAGCTAATATTGACACATTTCCCCCCCCCCCCCCCAATTTCCAACGAACACCAATATGCACTTACGTTTCCCTTCATACATATTCCTGTCGATCAGATCTTGATCTTGTTACTCACTATTCCGTAACATTTGCTGTATATTGTAACTCGGCTAATAACAATTTATCCTGCTTACCTACCTTAGTATATAAATCAATTCAACTCAAGCAAATCAGTCATATTTCGTTCCAAAACCAACATAATTGGTTCGATTCGCTAGATGCGACCTTGTTAATCATGTTCCAGCTCGTCACGCACGATGGAGAAGGTACTTTCCCATCCTGGCCTAGGCCCGTGGATCAAGCATCCTGCAACAATGAAGTTCTCCCCGCTTGGGTTTCGTTCTGCATCAAACGTCATCGCTACAAGGCTGGCGGCTGGGCAATCGCACCGCTTGACACTTGACGCTTGACGCTTGACGCTTTGCCTTACGCTTCCTACCTAACTATCTCTGTAGTCTGCTCTCACGACTTTGCCCCTCGTCTCCTTCCCGTTATCTAATGCGCTAGGGATCGCCGACTATCATAGATCGTGTTACTAATAGGTATCAAATTTGCCCTCTATTCTCGACGTCCACATACGTCCTTCGTCATATGCATTGTCTACACCCTATTCGTATCTAGCCATCAGTTTATCCCAACCCCCCCTTGGTCGAGCCCGTCCATTGCAGACGTTGATTTGGACCCGAGCGATGGGTGTTGTCTCATAATAAACCCCCCTAGCTGCGAAACATTGGATAGCGCACGGCCAGCCGGAAGATTTAGCTCGGATGAATCTTAAGAGGATGGCCGCTACGGTTGCCAAACCCAGCATCATCCCGCGTGTGATACAGGAACACAACCTACTGCCTTTCAGCAACACAGGTCGCGGGTCTGCTGCGCGACCAGACGAAGATGTGGACCCAAAAGTACCGCCGCAACACCAGCAGCTAAAGCTGACCGACTTTCAACTCGTAAGGACTTTGGGAACGGGTATATCTCTACGAAAACGCATGCGCATATCCTCCTCGTACTAAGCATGATACCACAGGTACCTTTGCTAGAGTTTGTCTCGTTCGTCCCGCGACCGGCACCGAAGAGGATCGCGAGAAGGTATTCGCTCTCAAGATCCTGCGCAAGGCCGAAGTCATCAAACTAAAGCAGATCGACCACGTTCGAGATGAGCGCCGCATCCTCAGCGACGTCGCTGGCCACCCCTTCATCACCGAGCTAATCACTACCTTCTCCGATCACGACTCGTTGTATATGCTACTCGACTACATCCCCGGCGGCGAGCTCTTTAGTTATCTACGGAGACATAGGCGATTCCCCGAAGAATGGGCTCAGTTCTACGCAGCTGAGATCGTTCTCGTACTCGAGTACCTTCACGACGACCAAGGCGGCGTGGCGTATCGCGACTTGAAGCCGGAGAACCTGCTGCTGGACGGCGAGGGACACGTGAAATTGGTTGACTTTGGCTTTGCGAAGAGGCTGGGCAGCAGGGATAGTAGACCTGTTGAAACGTACACTCTTTGCGGTACGCCCGAGTACTTGGCACCGGAGGTTATTCAGAACAAGGGACATACGATAGCGGTCGATTGGTGGGCATTAGGAATTCTGATATACGAGTTCCTAACGGGGTACCCGCCCTTCTGGCACCAGAACCCCATTGAGATCTATAAGCAGTCAGAACCTTTCAACTCCTTTTTAGTGTGTCACCAGCAGCTAACTAAATATTAGGATCATCGAGAAACCGGTGCTCTTCCCGGCAGATCCCCCGGTCTCACCTAACGCGCAAAGCATCATCCGATCGTTTTGCACGGTAGACCGATCTCGAAGGTTGGGTAACTTGATCGGCGGCACTGAGCAGGTCAAATCCCATCCGTTCTTCGAAGGGGTAGACTGGGACGCACTCTACAACCGACAGGTTCGGCCGCCGATCCAACCCAACGTGCGATATCCGGGCGACGCGCATTGCTTCGATATCTACCCAGAAGATGACGGTAAGCGGGAGCCATACACGAAAGAATTATCTCGGCAGTACGATCACTATTTTGAGGGATTTTGAAGCGTACTCGGCTACGCTAGCGTGGGTTTTAGATACCTACGTCCTACCTCCTAATTGGGACGAGGTATTACCGGGATACCTTACGAACAACTTCGTCATGTATCTACGTGGAACATGTCCATACGACTTCAAGGAGTTCTGGAGCGTTTGCTTTATACTATAGGGTATCATAAAGTAATCTTGGTATTTCTTCCATGACCTTTCGGATTGCTCTCTTGGAGGGTTGATTTCCTGGATCGGTCCGACTGTACTTGTACGTATAAATATAGAAGCGCATTGGTTTTTACGAAGTGGCCCGTTTAGGGTTTCGTGCCGTGATATGTTCACCATAGCGGCGTAGACAAGGTCTAAGACGGTGGTAACCCCCAGGAGCTTTACTAAATTTGAAGGTTTGTTGTCGGTTTGACTGGCTACAATGAGTTATCGTGTTCGAACCGTCATAAGAAGGGTACGAAAGCATCAGGTTGTATGTACATCAACTCTTCGGACAAACCTATTTGATAAAAGTAACTGTTAAGGGGGCTAACTGTAGTATAGATTTTCCATGCCGCATCCTGTTGCATCTTTAAGGCGACTTAGGGCACCAGGTTCTCAATAACTATAGGCGTGTTCTCGAAATTCCAGAGATCTACACACTGTTACTTTGTTTCTCTGACATGTACTCTGAGCTCAGGGGCCATCCGGCAAAGATATCTGCTACATTCACACAAAAGACGTGGACTAACCACTATGCAGTTATCTAAGACATGAGTTGGGGTACTATCAACAGCGGTAACCTACCTATCTCTGAAGTGTGTGGGCAAGTCACTCAGGTCAAGTTGTGATAGGGGGGATATGTATGTAATTAGAAACGTTCTCGTCTCTAACTGTCAACACATTCATAATGGACATCTCGAAATTATTGCAACATACAAGCTCGTCCGATGACAGTCGCCTCCTGTCCTAGATCACAGCAGCTGTCTCCATACTCTCGAAGCCGGCTACCCAGTTTGTGCGCGTCTCATAAGCAACCAACGCGGCAACTACATCATACCTCGGAGAGCAGTAATATGCTGGACCTAGTGGTCGTCACCTTTACTAAGATACTCGGTTCTTATTTGTAGCTTTACGCGATGGCGCAAGCCCCCAATCCTCAATGACATACCATATTCCATGCAACACAGTTTTGATAAATACTGAGCTCATATTGGGTAGTCCGCTTGTTGCATGTACTGAGCCATCCCCTCCTTGAAATATGTACCGCCCTACCTCTCAGCTCTGTCGCAATGATTGAGCCAATGGTAATGGCCGTTAGACACTCGTGCTTCAAGTCGATTAAGAGGCTATAGCCATCATTCGCGCGGCATACCTATTCGGGGACAGGGGCGAACTAGACTGTGCAAAGTATGCTCAAGATCTTCTCTCCTCTCCTCGGTATCTTCTGATCGTGGCTACCAGTCTCTATCACCGAAGCACATAAAGGCCGTTTTATTGGATATCAAGCAATGTTCGGCGTGCTTGGCACTTTATCTATTTGCTTGGACCTGAGCAATGCGACGTAAATGCTTTCTTCCCAGCAACCTCATGCTATATTAAAACAGGTATTATTACATAAACGAATACCTTCTCCCCTTATTAATATTACGCATTTCCAAAATTAATAAAAAAAGCAAAAGGAAGGGCTTCGCCGGGGATCGAACCCGGGACCTCTCGCATAAGCGCATATCGTCGTCGACGATTTAAATGCATAAGATACTTGGGTGTTACCCTAAGCGAGAATCATACCGCTAGACCACGAAGCCTTTAGGATCCATCGTTGCGTTGCGTTTCGTTATTGCATATTATATGAATTATTTTACATTGCCATAAATGTTACCTGCATACTTGATCCATATCAAGGACAATGTCTAAGACGGAAATGAGCACCAAGCCGGCAAATCAACTCTGCTCTTCATTATGGAGCGACAAATCTGAAACGGAAATTGCTTTTATTCCGAAATATGCACCAATTTATCTATCATATATCTGGAAATGCCACCCCCCTTTTTTTGTAAACCCCCCCAGCGCATGCAAGTAAACCAAAACCAACGCCGAGATGCTTTCCTTTTTCTCTACCCCTCCCTCCCTTTCTTATGCTTAGATATACCCCTTAAGCACGGCGGCCTCGGCGTTCAATATCGAGGAGCCGGCGGCGCCGATGACGGTGTTGTGGCTGAGGGCGACGAACTTGACGTCGAAGATGCCGCTGTCGTCCGCGCGCACGCGGCCGACGCTGACGGTGTAGCCGCGGCCGAGGTCGCGGTCGAGCCGAGGCTGGGGGCGGTCGGGCTCGTCGAAGACCTGGATGCTGGGGCGCGGGGCGCTCGGGCACCCGAGGGTCTCGGCCTCGCTGACGTAGTCGCGCAGCGCGGCGCGCACGTCGTCGATCTTGGGCGCGGGGCGGTTCGCGAAGCGCAGCGAGACGCACGCCGTGTGGCCGTCGAGGACGGGCACGCGGTTGCAGGCCGCCGACACCCGCAGCTGCTCCTGCTCGACGAAGGCCGTGGCGTCGCCGTTGACGCCGCCCAGGATCTTGCGCGCCTCCGTCTCCAGCTTGTCCTCCTCCCCCGAGATGAAGGGCACCACGTTGTCCAGTATGTCCATGCTGCTGACCCCCGGGTACCCCGCCCCCGACACCGCCTGCATCGTCACCACGCTCACCGTGTCTACCGGCCCGAACCGCGCCTGCAGCGCCGCGAACGGGATCACGAGGCCGATGACGGCGCAGTTGGAGTTGCAGACTAGGAATCCCTTCTCCAGGTTGCGCTGCTTTCGCTGGTGCGGGATCAGGTCGAGGTGCGGTAGGTTGACGGTCGGGACGACGAGCGGTACGAGCGGGTCGCGGCGGTAGTTCTTGGCGTTGGAGAAGACGGCGAGGTTGGCCTTGAGGAATTCCATTTCTAACAAGTATTAGTCCCAGTACCCGCTCTCGATATTACAGGTAGGTGTCGTAAGTCTGTACATACCAATTTCGCCGGCAACATCCGCATCCAGTCCGCTAAAGACGACGTCGCAGTCGGCAAACTCGCTCGCCTTGCACTCGCGGACGACCAGCTCGCCCACAGGTCCCATAGGCGAAGCCTGCTTCCATCTTACGGCGTCCTTGTACTTCTTGCCGGCAGATCTAGACGAGGCTCCCACGGCGTGCAGGACGAAGTGCGGATGTTGCGACAGAAGCAAGATGAATCGCTGTCCCACGGAGCCGGTGCATCCCAGGACACCTACAGCGAACAGCAGGTCAGCGTGAAGCACCAGCAGCCATTGACTTTGGGGGAAAGTACTTACCGCATTTCTTGGTAGGGAATTGGGAAGCCATGATTATTTCGGACGGAATTGGCTACTCTAAAGTCAAATATCAGAGTTTACGGTAGGTATATCGAGCTTCTCTCGATGGTGAGTCAGGTCGCCTCGTCAAGTTTATACAACAGCAGATTCCAAAAAAATTGCCCCGCCAGATGGACCCCGCCATCCGCCATCGGAACACGCCTTCAGGGGTCTTGGACTTATGCCCCACCGTGTACCTGAACTCAGTGCTCTATTCGGGTTTCGCCCGGGTCGCCTTTCCAAACGGCGTGTTCAGACGGGACCTGCCGTTTGCATTGTACCATTCGACAGAACCCCGAGAGCTAACGTACTGGATATATTCTTTCTTACATTGGATCACATGTTTTGTTCAGCGTTATTACCAATGGACTCCCCTTTCTACTATCCTAGGTAACGCCCATAGCGAAGGCCAGACTGGGTGATGCATTTCTAACGACGCCATCTATCCGGACAGAGGAACTACATCGCACCAAGCACTTCCAGTTCGGTCGTACATATACTCAAGTTATTACACACCTGCATCAATAAGACGCCTTAGTTCTATAAACAACTTTTGTTACGCTCGCTAGACCTTCGCCGGGCGTAAGTATATACAAAGGCTTTTAATTCAGATCCCGAGCAGTCCCCAATTGACGAAAACCAAATCCCCTTTCTAATCCATAGGAGGTATACCCTCAAACTCCGCGTAGCCGCGAGCTAAATTCATGTTTTCTATAAATCAGCCATGTTAGTATATCTGGAAATTCCGTGTAATAGGAGGATAGACGGGGCAAAAACTCACGTAGACACTGTGTTGCGGCCCCCTTCAGCAGGTTGTCAATCGTCACGCAGATAACCACTCGCTTCCCCGAACTGTGAACCGCAAACCCGCCAATCTCAACGCCGTGCCTCCCGCTGATCGCCTTGACCAACGGAGCTTCTCCCACCACCTTGACTAGCTTCTCGCCTGCATATCTATCTTGGTACATCTGTCTAATGTCGCGAGACGTCATCGTCTTGTTCAGGGGAATGTTGATCGTGTGGTGGATACCCTGGAACCACACTGCAACGTGGGGAATGAATCCAACGTCGACGCCGAGTTGATTGCTTATCTCCTTCTCGTGGACGTGGTCTGTCAAGCTGTACGGGATGAGATTATCCGTCAATATCTCCACGTTGTTCTTCGCAGAGGGCTTCGTGCCGGCCCCCGAGTAGCCCGACACGCCGAAGATTGTAGGTTGGCCCCCAAGGTACTCCACGAGCGGTGAGATACCAAGCTGGGCAGCCGTAGCGTAGCAGCCGGGATTCGAGATATGCGTAGCTTGGGCAATCTGCGATCGCTTTACTAATTCGGGGAGACCGTAAGTCCATGACTTGTCGAATCGGTAATCGGCGGAAAGATCCACAATCACGCTGTTGTCGTCCTTGGAAGACGACTCCTTCGCCCTGTTGATGGCATCGACATATGGTTTGCACACGCCATTAGGCAGCGCCATAACCCATACATCGATCTTTCCTTTCTTCTCCATCTCGTAGACGTCGTCAAAGCTCAAATTCTCGTAGATAATCTCTTTCTTCGTATAACCCTCAAGCTTCTTCCCAGCCAACTCCCTCGATGACACGTGGCGAAGCTCAAAGTTGGGGTGTGTGTTTATAAGACTGATGAGATTCTGTCCGGTGTAGCCTCGAGCGCCAATTAATGCGACCCTCGAAGGTTGCGTGTTGGAGGCGTGCTTTTTGCCGTATGGTGGATTCGGGTTGGTCTCGGTGGCAAAACCTCTCCGCGACCCACGTGAGAAGGCACCCGCAGGAATAGCCCCTGATACAGGACGGCGGGCGAGGGTCGAGTACCCTCGTGCTTGGTTAGCCGTCGAGCCGGATGCAAAGTGTGCTCGCAGATTTTCGGATGCAATTTGGGCGGCTCGGTGGAGACGGGACTCCAGGTTAGAGTCGCCAAGCATAGCGCGGCCGTGCATAGTAAATTCCCTCATGAGCTTGTTCAGCTCCTCTCCCGGGTCGATGCCGTACCAGAACATGACATCGTTGCCTCGCACGATGCTGCCATCAGCCTTGTCAAAAAACCAAGTAAGATTCTCGTCGTCAGCCTTGACGGTCCAGACTAGGCTTGGATACTCCTTCTTGATCGCCGCGAAGAGATTATCAGCAACATTTGTTAACCAACCCGACTTCGTTATTGTTAATGTGGCCAACGTCGAGTACGTCTGGTCTGGGGCAGGGTCGAGGACGACGGCGAGGGCCTTCATGGGCTCGTCGAAATAAGCCTTGAACTTCCGGTCCTTCAAGAAGTCCAGATAGCGATCTACCGTGGCTCTAGCATCCCGGACCTCCCGATCTCGAACAAGTACATCCTTCAGCTTCCCAAGATCACTAAAATCGGCAACGCTTTCCGCCGTCATCAACTTGTCTCCCCGGCGAATAAGAGTACCGGCCCCGGAGTCCGTAAATAATTCCTTCTGCAGGTCGGCGGGGTGTATGATAGCAACGCTAGATGATCGGGGGAGCGATTCTAGGAGATCCTTAATCTCCCGGATCTTTAATCTGGTCCCGAATTTACACCAAGGCTGCGACATGATGTATTCGAATTCTTCGTCGAGGTTGATGGCGGAGATCTTCTGCACGTTACCGTCGAACAAGCCTCCTTTCTCACTGAGGTAGACAACCTTCAGAGGCTCAAGCGCGCGAGCCAACTCTCCCGCTGCGACATCGGCGTTGACATTTAACACTTGGCCCTCCTTCGTCTCCGCCATTGAGGTGAGGATAGGCAGGTAACCATTCTCAATGGCAGTTTGGATTGGCTCCTTGTTGACCTCGGTGATCTTTCCAACGAACTTCCACTTTTCTTTGTCGAGATAATCGGCGGTGAAGACACTGGAGGTGATGGGTCGAGCGCGGACACCCATCTCTTCGAGGCGCTGGACGAGCTTCAAATTCTCGGCCAAGAAAAGCCGTCTCGCAATTCCCAAAGTCTTACCATCGGTAATTCGAATTCCTTCCTCGAACTGGGGTTCGACACCTGCGTCCTCGAGGAGCTTATTGAGCTGCGGACCAGCACCGTGGACGATGATGGGGAAGAGGCCGACGTGGTAGAGGAACGAGAGGGAAGAGCAGAGCTCGTCGAGGTAGTCGGTCAAAATAGCGCCCCCAACCTTAATGACAGCGAATTGCTGCGAGGAAACCGAAGAGAAGTGGGACAGGTACTGCTGAACCTCCCTCTTAGAACCGACATTGTTGAGTACCTGTATAACGGCAGCGCGTGTAGTCGAGTCGTTCGACCGAGCGGACGAGAAGGCGGCCTGCGAGGATCGTAGGGGAATGTTTGTTGCGATCGGAGACAGACGTGTAACTCGAGGAGTGACTCTACGGGAGCCTGCCCGGAAGGCAGCTCGTGCCGCGCGTACAGGCAGCATCGTGGACCGAGGGGCGAACGACTAAAAATCTA